ATGATGACGATACGGGGGAGGATGATGAGAAAACGACGAAGCAAGACATCGCCGGCCCAACGGGCCAAAAGCGTTCTAGAATCGCTGGTAAGAGGTTTACATCATTTCTTCTTCGCGCGCTGGGCGGCCCCTGGGGGTCCCCGGACGGATGCTGGCACTCCTGGGGGCGGTCTTGGGGTCCTCAAGATTGCACCAGGAGCGCCCGCTCTGACAGTGGGGACACCAAACCCGAGCTGGGGCGGAGATTGGGCGCAGCATGGGGGGAGTTTCAAAGACATACGCAAGCGTGAAACACTGCTGTAAACAAAAAAACAAGCTGGAAATCTTCTCTGCGCTCATCACAAGCAAAGTACTATACCCGTGAAGTTCGACATGGCGGAACACAGCAGAGAGGAGAAGGATAGATGGGTTCTAAGTCCGTCGCTCGAGGCTTATTCGAGAGTATCAGAGAAACGTGTTCTTCAAACATCTGGTCAACACTCATGATCGTCACAGCTACTACGATAGCAAGTGGTACTGTTTGGGAAAATTGGCTGGTCTCATGACACATATGCTTCGCGACAACTCACTCTTCAGCCAAGCAACCCACGACCGGCGACCGACTCATGCAACTGACCAGTCGGGAGACCCAGACATGAATGAACAAAGGAACTATATCGTAGAAGTCGGTGTCGGTTCTAAAGGGGATTGCCGAAGCAAATCCTGGTCTTGGCATCGAAATCCGATGCGGGAAAACTTGAAGATGCCAAGATACCGTGCGCCGCCCGGTGCAACTGAATGGATATGGTTCTCAGCGTTTGCAGCTGCAGAGAACTGAGGCATTCACCTGCCGAAGATTCTGCTCTGACGTTTAGCTTCATCACTTTGGCCTTCCTAGACACCGCGCACGTGTTCGTAGCATTGAAGTCATCCCAGGCAACATCGATCAACATACCGGGGCCCATCATGTGCACCTTCACAACAGAAAAATGAACGGCGTAGCGACTATGTAGAGAAGTCGTGAACGAGAAGTTGTACGCGTACTACTCCATCGTTGAAACGCTTAGCCAATCTGCGAAGGCCAATTCAACCTGCCCTTTTAACCTTGCAATGCCGATACCAGCTTGCGATCCAATCGTAAAATGGTCGGTAAACCATCACGATGGTGGTACTGATGTGGCTAAAATCAAAAGCGAGCTGTGCGACGCTGGTGTCATTGATATGGTCGAAGCGCTCACTAGACATCAGTACCTTTCTTGAAGCTCCTTTGAGCTGGTCAAGAAAGTGCAGCCAATCTGAACAAAGTGTTTCTATGTTGTCCTTGTACTTGGACGGGTGGGACATATAACATTCTGCAACATTCGCGATTTGAGTCATGTGTCCGCGTGAATGTCCGAATAGCGCAGGGTCTTCCCACGTCCAGCCGTCACTTTTTACAGAGGTCTGCCAAACTTTACGTTGTTTCTGAAGTGTTTCCCGAAGCAGTTTTGTGGGGGCCCACATGAAGCCACAGTCTCGCACCCCTTTCCGTTGACTGAGACCTTGATTCACCCATTGCCCATAGATCAATCCGCACATCGCCCAAAAACACTAACGCGGCGGCTAATTTCATTGCTCCCATGGAGAGCTGACACGGGCCCTTGAGCCAAAATGTCTTGAGCCAAAATGGCTACGGATTGTTGACGTCACCGCCTTTTCGTGCTTCCGACTGCCCTGGCAGACGGCCCAAGAGGCGTCAAGATCGGCCCACAGGCCCCAAGATGGCACACAAAGCGCCGCAAGATGGCTCCAGAAGCTCCCGAGAAGCCCCAAGAGGGGGAATCCGAATTCACATGTCGGGCACCCCAAATATGGCCTCCGAGACTGCCAGACAGCCCCTTGAGGCCCCAAGACCCCTCCGAGAGGCCCCAGGAGGCCCCCCAAATGCCTCCAGGAGGCCCCGCGAGGCTCAAAGAATTCCCCCGCGAGCACGCAGGCAAGTACCGACGATGTTAAACGATGGGCTGGCGGAGTGGGCAACTCGACGAATAACAGTAGTGTGCCCTCTAAAAGGGAGGCTTGAGTGCTACTTTGCCCCCGCAAGGGTCGCCACGGCTTCCTCAGGATGGACCCCCAAAGGGATGCGACTACGGACGGCTTCGAACAAACAGTGGAAACTTGCGAGAATCACCGTTCTGCTCGAAGCGAAGCGAAGCGAAGCGAACCGTCATCGCCCGGAGGCGGCCCATGGCTGGGCGACGGGCGCGCTGCGAGGCGCGCTGGCCCTCTGAGAGGACCGGGGAAAGGCCATGACCGATTCACGAGACAGCGCGCATGCATACAGGGGGAGGGGCAGGGGAGGCAAGAAGGAAGCAGCAGGCAAAAATAACCGCCGCTCGCCGTCTCAAGCTAACTGGAACACGCCTGCAGAGTCCATGTCCTTCGCACGGCTCCGGGGTCGTCGGGAACCAGCCCCCAAGCCTGCCAACGATTGTACGCTTGCCAGTGTCAAGCACGTCTTCGATGCGCGAGGCCAGCGCGCGGGCCCCAAGCAGTGACTGTGTGCAGTCCGTGATGGGGAGTTCATGAGGAGCATTCTTCAGGAGGAAAAAAACACACAGACACAATTAATCGGCGATTCCCCAGAAAATATGGGAAAATATGGGAAGTGGGGGGGAAGACAGAAACCCAGAAAATATGGGAAAATATAGGGAATCCTTTTATTTGTGTGTATTTATTTGTGTGTCCCAGGGCCCCTTCAATTCTGTGAGGTGCAGGCAGCGTGGTGCACTCGACGGGGTGAAGCTCACTTGCGTAAACTGTAATTCCAACTTCAATGATCGCGCAAACGTGCCACACT